ATACTCATTCAGTTTTTCCCAGTAGCGTTATCAGTAATATTTCTGCTTGTGTATGCGAAGTGCAACTTCACCTCTGTGTTAATTTTTTTGTTTTTCTTGTTCCATTTTAGATTTTTTTCGCTTGAAGTCTTCTTGACTACTTGTTCAGCGTCATGCTTTTTTAAGCATGTATTTGTTGTATCGCAAATGGTGCGAAGTTCAGCTTCACTTCTGTGTACTTATTTTTCTGCCGCTCTAATCTTGTGTTTTGTTTTGCTTTTACAGCTCAAAATCAGTTAGGTAATTGTTCAGAAGGTTATATTGTGCGGTTTTTGTCGAAGTAGCTTTGTTTTTTGTTCCGACCATTAGAATGGGGTGGAATTTTGTATTCGGTTGTTTGAGATTTTTATTTTTTGTTCCGACCACGCGAAATCAGGCACCACAAATAATCATTGGATTCGTTTGAGTGATTTATCATATTGAAGCTCTTCAAATCATGATTCGAACCAAATAAAACATTGAAATTTTTTTTCCGGTGTCGAGAAAAACTGGTTGAAAATTTTCGGTTTTGCGCCGAATTTCGAGCGAGCAACGCTAGCGATCAGGCATATTAATGCCTGATTTTAGTTTTACTCGAGTAAGTATACTGTATGAAGTTTTTTAGCGCCATTTTGGGAATAAATAAATTCAAATTTATAAAAAAAAATATCAATGAAGTATTGTGATTTTTATGTTCTTCTTGTGTTTTTATTCAAAAACTCTTGTCCCTGATTTTAGTGTTACTCGAGTAAGTATACTGTATGAAGTTTTTTAGCGCCATTTTGTGAATCAATAAATTCAAATTTATAAAAAAAAATATCAATGAAGTATTGTGATTTTTGTTCTTCTTGTGTTTTTATTCAAAAACTGTTGTCCAGTTTGCCTATTTGTTATGACTGTCAAAATGCCTAATTTGTAGTTATTTTGTTCAGATACTCTTATCGCGCCACCCAGAAAAACGAATTAATTTGAATGTTTTTTTTTTGTGTGTGCGCGCGTGTGTTTTTTAAGACTATGGTCGAGTAACGCTCGGTATATGGAATTTTACTGTTTTTGTTTATATTTTTAGGATAAAAAACATGATTGGTTATACAGAAAACCAGTTTTGGTTGTTTCATTCAGCGCTTGTTTCGGAAAAAAAATTTAGAAGATGCTAGATAGTTTTTTAAATTTTACAAATTACAAATGTCGTCCAACATGCCTAAATTACTAATTTTCTACGCGATTGTTTAGTTCTCGAATCACACCACTCGCTAAAAACGACACTAATTTGAAGAAAATTAAAAAATATATATATTTTTTCCATTTAATGAATTTGGTCGGAACATTCTGTGCTACCTTATGTGAACATTCTGCGCTACATTATATGTTTTTTTTTTCGGATGATTCGTTAAGCGGTTTTTTTGAAGAACAACTCTTCAAGACCGCCATAATGTCTATCATTGATTTTTGTTCCTTTTATTGAAATTGATTATATTTTTTGTTCGTTAACTGGCATCCTGTTTTTAAAAATATTTTAAACAGCTGCAACATTTGAATAATTGAAAGTGAAATTCCATAGATTGGAGCAGGGTTTTATTGTTCATGGCGAGGAGCAAAAAGATGCCACTAGATATAGAAGTGGTTATTGCATACAAATGGCTTTGATGCTCCTGTTTGCTGTTAAATGAGAAAATCTGAAATTGAATTGAGTTGAAAAGTAAATGTAAAGAGTGTATTATCTATTGGTGTCCAGATTTCATATCAATACAGATTTTTATGCAATTTTATTTAATCATTGACCTTGGTAAAGGCTATTGATATTAATTAACGGAACTAAATCGCAGATTTATAGTCATGGGAAAATTACGCAGTAAATGAGTCTGAGCCTTCGGTTGGATGTCCTATCGGCTTAGTTCGCGGTTGGGTTTTATCTCCAAAAGATTATTTTGAGCTGATCACGAAGCAGTTTTTTTTGTAATTCTAGCCAATGAGTTTCTACATACGCTCTTTTTCTAGTTTCATTGCTTATGTTTGCGCATTGATTGAATTAGCTTTGATAAAAATTGTTGATACACTCTATTCCGCGATCGAAATTTGGATTTTTCAAAAATAAAATAGAGTTTTTCCCTGCTTTAGTTAATTTCCCTAATTTTTCTTGTTTCACGGGTCTGATAGTTTCTTCGAATTGAATGTTTCTGGCACTAATTGTTCGATTGAACGTAATGATTTTTTCGAGTTTTAATTAAGATGACGATCACAATCATTTATTCGATACAGTGAAGAAAGTACAATCTGCCAAATCATTCACTGTATCAGGGTAGCGAGAACAGGCTGTTCAGCCTAACAAGTAGCTACCCCCAGGGATAACTATTACAATTAAGCAACCACAAAGATGCTAATTAGAAAAAATCAGTTCATGCTAATTAGAAAAAATTTCATGCTAATTAGATGAGCAAAGAATGATTCATTTTAAGTTAGCGAATTGTTTATAGGAACAGATTTTACATCTGAGTTAGATGATGAAGCGTTTTTTCACATTTTTGCAAGATTCTTTTGTGTTTTTGGTGACTCTGCAGTACCTAGTTTGCCCTGGTTTTAAAGTTTTTCACTGACGGGCTGTTCAAAATTATCTGGGATTTCTCACAACCCTGGATGAATTCTAATTTTTATTATGCCAAAGTATAAAAATGTCAGTGATTTATTTTGGAACTCCCAAAGAGGTCTATGAGGAAGTGAATTTGTGGTTCGAGGGCTCACGGCAATTAAATAGTGCAGATAGCTTTTTTAGTTTTCACTGAAGCCATTCAAGTCAACTTACTATTGTATTAATATTGGAATTTAAATACTGATATTTGAATGTAGAACCGGCAGTGTGTGATTATGGTCAGCCTATCTAGATTAGGTCGTTTTTGATCCCCTCTGTCTGCGTGGCCGAAGAATTCTAGCTCAGCTTCGCATCTGTATGCCACTAGATATCTGTATTTAGCTTCGCATCTGTATTTAGTTTTTATCCTTGTTGTTATCCTTTCGGTATCCTTGATCTTTAAGTAGTATTCAACCGCCTGTTGGGTGTGTTTCCCTATTTCTGTTGCTGTGTAACAGTCGATGAATGTAGTTCAGACTGATATAGGTCGCGATGATTGTGTTTTTTTGTTCGTTTTTTTTGTTTTTAGGAAAAGTCTGTTCATTTAGGAAATGTTTGTTCAGGCTCAAATTTACTTTTTCGCGGTTGACTTATGATTTGTTTAACCTCAAATCATTTCCTTTGTTAAAACGAAGTGCAAGTTCAATTATCGAACAGCAAAATTGTGAATGTCACGAAACACGTTATCGTTTTCTGATTTCGAAAGTGGAATTTAATTTGCAGCCGAACAAAAAGTTTACCTATTTATCCAGTTTTCCCAAATTGAGTTAATTTAATCAAAGTTTCAATCATAAATTGTTCTCAAATTTCAAAGAGATTTTAAGGGCATCAATTTTCTTTGAAATTCTACATAAGATTTTTCAAGAAATCAGTCTGTATTTTTTTCTGTTCACTTGCGTTCATTGACTCTTTTCCAACATCTTTCAATTTCGAGCGAATAAAGCTAGCGAGCAGGCTTACAGCAGCTTAATTTTTGCTTAATTTAAGTCTTAAAAACTTAACTTCCCGCAAGTAAAATTGGTTTTTAGCGCCATTTTGGGAAGCAAGAACTTCAAAAAAAAATTAAATGTGTCCTATAAACAAATTTAAAAAAAAAATATTTTGAAGATTTTTTCTTGTTTTTGTAGTAATTTTTCCACAGAAACTTTTGTCCAATTTGCCTGTAATACTATAATTGTCGATTAAGTGTCGAAAATTTCTAGTTGTACGTCAGATCCTTTTATCACTCATCTTTTATCAAAACTACACTCATTTGAAAATGTTTGGTAGGTTTTTAAAGACTTTGATCGGAGTATTATGTGCTACTTGTACAGTAACCGGCTAGGCTGTCTCTTCTTTTTTCTGATTGCTCTGAGCATTTGAAAATGTGTTCGGGTGCTTTTTAAATTTTTTCTTGTTCTCCACGCAAAATCAGCTACAGCAAATAATCATCGGAACGAGTTGAGTGATAAAAAATATTAAAGTTTTTTTAACTGCTTTAAAAAAGCTTTCTATGTGTTGAGATAAACCGATTTGAAATTTTCGATTTTTCGTCAAATTTCGAGGTAGTAAAGCGAGCGAGCAGGCTTACTATAGCTTATTTTAGTAGCTTAAATTAAGCCCTAAAAACTTAGTTCACTCAAATAAAGTTATTTTTTTTTGTAGTTTCGCGCGTTTTTTTTTGGAATCAAAAATTCAAAAAGAACTGCATAAAGAATTGAAATTTTTAAAATTGTTTTGTTTGTCTAGTCATGTTTTTCCACAAATTTGTTTTCCAAACTGATTATTTTACTATGACCTCGTTTATTCTTCAGCGCTAGTTTATTGTTCAATTTTTTTTATTGCAATACGCAGAAAAACGATCCAAATTTGAAAAAAATGGTTGCGATTTTTTGAGGCTGGTCGGAACATTCTGTGATACTTAAACAGTAACCGGCTATCTGTGTTGCGTTTTGTTTTTGCCTTTTAGAGCTACGTTTTGCCGTTTTCTCACTTTTGTTTACCAAGTGCAGGTTCGATAAAGTTTGATTTGGTTTCTAATCAGTTAGTACGTGACTTTAAGAAAAGGAAGCGAAACATTGTTAATCAAATTGATGTGATGTCGATTTTGAATGTGACCTTAGTTTTCAAAAGTTATTTAGTAGGAAGATAATATGCTATAAGACAGGCATACATTTCTGATAATTGCACTCACTTTTCATTTTTCCAGCACCGATTGAACTATCAGCGGATGACGCTATTGAAAAGAGACTGAAACAGCTTCGTCAAAGTGGACCAGGGGTCGGTGGAAGTTCAGCTTCTGTGCCCTCTGACGATGAAATTAAAGCACGACTGAACAGACTTCGAAATGGAGATGAACAACAAACGTTAGTTTCCGTTTTATCGGTCAGAATGGTACTGCATTTAAGGGTTAATTGTGGACGCGGTTTGTTCAAGTTCAGAAAAATATATATTTTAACAATCTAATGCTTTTTCTAACTATCTGTGTCACGAAGTGTGGTTCTTTGAAAATTTTGATCACAATGGACTCCAGGTTATTGTTGCCTATTGGATGTGTGAAAGTTAATCGTAGATGGACAGAGTTTTGCTTGTGATCATAGTGTTTGCGCTCCGCTGTGAAAACCTAAGATTTGAAAAAGACCTTATTCCAAGTTTCTCGTCGAATTAAAGGACAACTTGTATTTACTTGGTCTGTCTTCATATTTGATCAACTTTTCTTATGCTGAAGAATAAGTTCGGATTACGACGCGAGATAGATAACTGCAGAAAACATGGCAAAAACATACCAATGGTGAGGTAGCCTGAGCATAGTGTGAGCTTAATAGCACAAGATATTAATTATAAATTTTATACTAAGAATGAGTAAATTAATTTTAATCATTTTTAAATGAAAAATTTGAAATGTATTTCTCAGAAATATATAATTATTTTGACAGCTCAAAATGTTTTATTAGTTTAAAGTTGGATATTTACTCTTTAAATTCGTTTCTATTTGCCTAACACCTTCAATTTGCTTGACATCCGCAACAAAACAAAGTTCATAATTAATTCGACCCTCTGTTGGATCATATTCTCGTTTCTTTCTCGACGAATTGTTGTCAGTTTTGAATTGCTCGTCTCTATTAACAAACTGGACCTGAATGTGCCTCTAACAGCGAATAAAAAAGATTAAAACGACAAAAAAAAGTGGAATCAAAGATGCCGTACGATAGTGTGTCATCGAATAACACAGGATCTTCTCGACTGGGTCTGGTGGAGATAGAAGCAGACGATGGATTGGATACTTCGAAAGGTTAATACGAAATAGTTTTAGTTCTATACCGACGGCTATGTATAATGGAAGTAGCCGGTTGCTGCGCAAGTAGCCCAGAAAGTTCCGATCACAGAAAAGTTTTGAATTGCAAGAACTATTTATGATGGAGGCTTTTTTTGATAAAAATCGAACCTAATTTGAGAAAATAAGATGAATAGGCAGTTTATCTATATATCAATCATTTATTCTGGTGGGAAATCTATTAATTAGAATCCTCGTCGTTTCGATTTTTGTGGTTCAAGCGCGTACTGTGCCTTCCTCTCAGCAAATGAAATAGAATTGATCTCTAAAAGTGCGTATGTACATAATTGCGTTTTAGTTTGTTTTATTTGCTGAGAGGAGGGCAGAATACAAAAGTGGAAACGGCGTGTAAAAACTGGAACTAATTCTAGTTCGATAGTGGAGTTCATTTAATAAATTCTCCACAGAATATGAAACTTGCTCATTGATTTAATGTTCTTTAATTGGGTTCTTTTTTCCAAAAGGCCTCCATCATAAATATTTCTTGAAATTCAAAATGCTTTAAAGCTATATTTTTAAATTATTTTCAGAAAGTAGAATTTTTTTGTTGAAAGATTGAAAGTTTTTTCCTTTCCTTGCGTTCATTGACATTTTTCCAATTGTCTCTTGGCTGTAATTTGTGGTGCCTAATTTTGTGTAGAAAAAAAGTTGTTTAAAATTTATAAGATACTTTAAGACAATATTCATGACTTCAGTGGTCAGAATAATAAAGCAACTGATATCAATGTGAATTATAACCACCTTGGAAACACTTATTACCAAAATGATTTTCCGAGTTCTCTTAAAGCAATAAAAATACCATGCATTGAGAATTTTGTCTGCAATGGAGGCGAACTTGTGATTTAAAAAGGTCTAAAACTGACGCTTTGAGGAACTTTTTGAAAGTTCCAGAATTTGTGTTTTTCGGTGCACGCTCCCTCAAAGTTGAAATAAATTGGAAAACGTTTTGTTCTCCATGTTTTGGGATTCAATGTTTCTGTGTTATTTAAGAGTCAGTGGCACAGTTGTGTAAGGAGGGGGCAATTGTTTTGTATTCTCGAGGTTCAATTTCCGATGAGGGTGTTTTTTTTTCATTCGTGATTTTTTTATACTTTTTAAAAGCTACTTCGTGGCTGTTTCTCGCTTGTGTTAGCGAAATTGGGATTAGGAGGATTTATGTAGGTATAGGGTGACCGTTGTTAGTAGCAACATGGGTGATTCGATTTTTTCAAGATTGATAATCTTGCGAGGAAAATTTTCTGCTTTGAAAAAGAAATCGGACTATTGTGCATCTGCTAAGTTCTTACAGCAAGCTAGAAAATAAACTGCACTTGCTAACTAACTGTAACTGTTTCCTGAATGCTTTTAAAATTGTTAAAATCGACGAGTTTTGTTTACTTTTCTTGATAAATGAATCCTAGGAATTAGTTTTTGTGGAAAATTTTTTCCTTAATTTTTCCCAGTTTTTTCTGACGTTTTTATTTTCCAGACGGTATTAAGGGGTTTTCTATCGACCGGTTTTTTTGTGAAAGTAAGATTGTGCAGAAAGCACCCATTTTTTATGTTCTTATGGTGTTTTTGGGCAATTTAATGAAACTCAAATGGTTGCGTTTTGTTGAAAATTATACGATATTCATTGATCAATAATTTTTTAATGATTTTTCGTTATTGTCTTTAGTTTTACACAAAGTCTTGATAAAACAGTATGAATTGAACCCCTATTATCCGAAAGTATATTTTGATTTGTTTACAAGTTTGTGACGGATGATTCCATCATAAGGCAATTCAATCGGACCACTAGGTTATTATTTTTTGCCTGTTTAAGAGACGATGAGCGTAGTGCATACTACTTTATAGGTCTTGATGATTTTTTTCTGGGAAAAATCATTCTATTCATTTTCAATTTGATTTTTTGCGGTTTGACTCTTAGTTTCTTTTAATGTCAATTTCATTTGTTTTGGTGAAAGATAAACAAACTCCACTATCGAACAGCAAAGTGGAAAGTGAATATAAAGTTTGAAAGTGGAAAGTGAATATAAAGTTTTAGATTCCACAGCGGAATATAAACTTTACCTGTTGATCCAGTTTTCTCACAACGAACCAATTTTTATCAAAAAATGTCAATCGTAAAAAGTTTTTGAAATTCAGAGTTTAACGCCATATAGTTTTTGTGGTAATTTCAATGGTAATTTTTGAATTTACGCACAAAATTTAAAGAGCTTTAGGTCGTATATTCCCTGCGTTCATTGACTCGTTTACAACTAGCTGTTGACTCTCTGTTATTTCCTTTTTCCAAGTTTTTCTTTGCAATGACTTTTTAGAGCTACTTTTTGCCATTTTATCACTTGTGTTTGCGAAGTGCAGCTTCGCCTCTGTGTTAAAAACATGAAAAAAATTTTTTTTGCCTTATCTCTGGTTTATATTTTGTTTTGCAAATATTGTGTTTCTAAGATAGGTTGCATGATAGTTTTACTGTCGAATTTGTCTCATTGGCCTATTTTAAAGTTTGATAATTGATTTTTGTTAACTCCAGTGTTTAGTATACGAAATTTTCCATGCCAGTTTTGAATTATTTAATAGATTTCTCTCTTAGATCTCCGTAATGTCCTTTTACCATTTTCAATTATCATTGCGTTTTAAATTTCGCGAAGCTTCGCTTCGACTTTGTCTGAATTTTTGGGTTAGATTTGCAATTGGTAGAATGGAAATTTCGGGAGATACCACATTAGTGTGGAATGGCAAACGGTGAAATGGTATGTTGTGATGAAGCGGAATTTAAATTTTGTACTGTCTTTTATAGTCGTCTCAGTTTCGGTCGAGCGAAAGAAGTGTCTGCTGAATTTCCTCAAGTACTCACCCATGTTGTTTGTGGTATGCCTGGCGTGTGCGATGATACCGAGTGCCTTTTTGATTGCGAATAATTCACACCGTGACTCCATTCAATCTCAGAACACCATGCTTCAACGCCTAAATGAGCAGCTGTTCATTCAGATGCAGAATCTGTCCCAAATAGGTGAGCCTACTCGATTTGAATTCCGACGATTGTGAAGATAGGTTTGGATTATTCTATCTACCCTTCGCTGTACCTCGGCGCAACCTCAATTACTCTTGCGCCTGGGCGGATCTAGGATTTTTTTGAGGGGGGGGGGGGGCCGATTTTCAAAAATTTTTTAGAAAATTTTGACGACCTTTTTTTTAGGTCGACCAAATTGATTTTCCGAGCTCTTCTAAAGCACTGAAAGGTCCCTGTTTTTGCCAAATTTGTAGGCACTTTTTGAAAAATTTTGACAAAAAAATCGCGCTCCCCCTCAAAGTTTTTTTGGCGCGCGCTCCCCCTCAAAGTTAGTATACATTGGCGCCAAAGGCGCCTTTAGAAAAATTTTAGGGTCGGTCGGCAAAAAATGGATTTCTTAAAAAGTACCAAAGGGGGACCCTTTGGGTCGGCAGGGGGTCGAATCCCTGAGGGAGGGGCGTCCGCCCCCCCCCCCCTAAATCCGCCCCTGCTCTTGCGGATACATTACGTGAATTAAGTAACAGTGACACTATTAATTAAAATTGCGTTAAAGTTGAAGTAATATAGGTAAAAGGGTTAATTTTACTTGTCAACGTTCAGGCTAAATTGTATGAGAGAATGGTCGAAGTTAATTTATTGATTTGATAAATTTAATATCTGCAATCTTATTTCATTTCTTGCTTCAATTTAATTCCTCTCTTCCTGGCTTGTTGTATTGGTATTGGTACAATAATACGTCATAAATTTGTCTTCGAACCTTCATTGAGAATAGTTTAACGATTCAATTAACAGTACAGATTGAAGATCAAGCTGAATGCTTAACGGATCGCTAATGCACCGTCAACAACAGTTGAGTCCGTCTAATCAGATTTTTTCCCTCTAATCAGCTCTTTGAGCGGTCATCGGTAACTTACCTGAAAAATAGTCTTGCCTCATCTAATGGGAAAGTACAACAGTGCCGAAGTACATTAAAGCCGAAAATCAAACTGTTAAACAGTGCCAAAATTTATTTTGAATACTGTTTTTACTCATCCCACGTCATTGATTAGTATTTCTATTCAAATTTAAAGGCAAAATTGGACGTTTTAATTGATGCCACTTGTTAAAAAAAATTACCCAAGCCCGGCGTCATAAATTTTTCTGAACAAACAATTAACTGGACAAATTATCAATTTTTTGCGGTTTCGCACCTAATTAAAACAGCATTCACGCTAAACTGCCGAAAATTCAAAAGGAGCTCCAAATTCCCAAGCATGATCATTTTTTGACTGTTGAACACATTTTCAGTTTTTTGACTGTTGAACACATTTTCAGTTTCGGCACTGCTGCACTTCGGCGCTGTTGAACGCCCCCATCTAATTAGCATTATCAAAATTGCACCAGAAAAAGTTACGAGCCATTAGACATGGCATACTTAACGCTTTCCTGACTGAGTTGAGGGCGTCCAGCGAAAGTTCATCGATTTCTTTTTGCTCTAGTTGATGGCTTTTTTTCTGATTTTTGTGATAAATGACATCTCTGCAATTGGAGAAAAATCCAAGAAAATAACCAACATTAGGCGAATTAGAAGATAATTTTTTAAAATCTTTAATGGAACTGAATGCGTGTCGTTTGTTTCGCTATTCAGTGTTGTAGTGTAGCTTGCCTGGAGTGCACGGCTATTCCGTATTTTTTGTAATCCTTACGAGCGGTTTTAGTATTGTTTAGCGCTACTGACAATCAAGATTTATTTTTGTTGACTTCATCCATTTTTTTAACGGTTTGGCATATCTTTCCCTTAGGGATGCTTGAGTCAGATCTGTAATGCATTACCACTAATCGGTCGAAATAAGTGAGAGCATGATTGGAATAATTTATGCTGTTGTTTCTACTCACTTGATATTCTGCTCGGTATAATTTTCTCAATGATTGGTATTATTCTCCATCAATGTCTGCATAGTTATAACGCTTGCGATTAGCCGGACTTTTTTGGGCTGACAACTAGTTTAACAAAATCACTTGAATCATTTTATCTTTGGCTTATATAAAATCAAAAGGCGGTCCTGCATATAAAGTTTCGGATCCGAACAGGATCTGTAAATTGTCCGCGCGTCAAAAAATTGTTGTCGGACGTCTGTTTGTCGGCTATTTTTGTCCGCTTAGTTGCCGCAGTACGGAATATGCTTAAAATTTAGGAATTTTTACTCAAATTAAAATACCATGCAGTGTTTTCCGGTTTTAAACAGGTGATTGAGTCCCAAGATGGTTTTGCCTATTTTTTATATATATTTTTTCATATATATTTACTCAAGCAAAGCTTGTGACATTGTATGAACTCTGTTTTTTTCCTGCCTAAGTCGCAAATATTAGTGTTCATTTTGAAAAGGTTTATTTTGACCAATAACCAGCTATTAAGTACAGCCAATGCGAAGGATATTAACACCGACTATTGTAGTACAAATTGCACTTTAGCTTCAAGGTATCATTGATCTGTAGCGTAAAGGTAGGGAAGGAGACCCACAAAAAAATACTAGGGTTCGAACCTGGGCAGGGTCGGATGTTTTTAACGAACTTTTTCGTATACTAGTTAAAATGCGTCCGCTTTTTAAATTGAGGCATGTTACTTGGTAAATTTTTTTTTCATTGACTGGTACTGCTAATGCATCATAATTGGCTTGCGTCATTTAGCAATTATGTAGACTCATAATTGGCGTGCGTCACTTAAGAAGTTTTGTAGGCTCAAGGTTTCACTCATTTAGTGTTTCCCAGTAGCGTTATCGGTCATATTTTTGCTTGTTCATGCGAAATGCAACTTCGCCTCTGTATAAACATTTGTGGAAATTATTTTTTAAAATATAATTTCAAGGCCTCTGTGTAAACATTTGTGAAAATTATTTTTTAAAATATAATTTCAAGGAGTGTTCTGTCCATTTGGTGCACTGGTAAGACCATGCTTGAAATTTTTGAATAGTTCAGACTCTCGTATCTGCTAACTTTTGTCGGCTGAGGTCCCGCAGAAATTTTTAAATCATTTTGAAAGGTTTTTGTAAAGTTTCCAATGGTGCAGGTAGTTTTGTTCTAGGAGTTTTCAGTTTTTTTGTCATTAAAAAAATGTAGTTTTTGTTTCAAATTTTGATTTGTCTTTTCTTTGGCTGGTAATCTTTGGCTTCGCCTCTGTGTGAATTGTATGATTGAGTATCAATTAACAGCAAAAGAATTACCTGCAGTGATGTCACAAATGTCAGATGCAATATAAATATAAATTCCTTTGTTTTGTCATTATACTGGTCAAATTGCCGATATCACTGTTGTTCAAAGAGGAAGCTTCCTAGAAGTAGAAGTAGAACGGAAAGTCCTTTTGTAGCTAAACTCGGTTGTTTTCTCGCCACCCACTTCTTTCAGAGCTTTTAGCCTCTAGCAATCAGCATAAATTAAGATGTTCCTCGAAAATATATTTGCTCAATTGTAAAACTATGTCATCGTACTTTCGTTTTTGTTCCTACTTTCGAAGAAAATGCGGAATAATTATGTTTGGGGTGTTCTTTTTCATTCAGTCAGTTTTCCATCTTTTAGCTGAGCTTTTTTGACCAATTTTTTATTACTGTTTGAAATTTTTGTTGTACTCGCTCAAATTCAAAACTTTTTTTTTTACCTGTGATCATTTTTTGTAAAGTTAAAGGGGTTTGAAAATTGCTAATTTGGGATACTTAGCATTTTTCGGATACTTAGCAATACTGAACCCCATTAATCAGGTTCATACTTGACACGCGTATGAACCGGATTAATTGAGGCAGCTCATTTGGTCTGATTATTAGGATACAAGACGATATATACATCCTTTTGTAGTTCACATTAGCGTGGGGGATCTGTTGAAAAATACTTTTTTGAATTATTTCGTCCATTTTTCGCTTCAAACACTTTTTTAATTGGCCTTAAATGCTGTCTGAATATGCAGCGCTTCGCCCTGTCATACGAGCAGTATTGTTCAGTTGTCACTTGGTGTGTTTCAGCGAGTCAGATGTCGAGTGAGAATGTGGAGTTGAGGGTAGATTTAGAATATCTATCCAATATGATGCGAGAGAGCAAAGAGAGTCTGCTCAGCTACTTCGACACTCAGTTCTACTCCTTTTCGAACAAATCTGTCCAGTACGCTCTCGTGGAGTACGATGAAGTTGTGGCTTGGAATTTGGGTACGGACACTGTGATTGTTAAAAATTTCAATAAAAATTCGAGTAAAAAATTTCAATAAAAATTCGAGTAGTGTTAAAAACATTTTTAATTTTTTGATATTTAGTCTTAATTCGAGCGAACGAAGAGAGCGAATAGGCTTATTTGAGCTTATGTATGCTCAATTTAAGCCGTGAAACTTATTTTACTCGAGTGAAGTCAGTTTTTGGAGTTTTTAAGCGCCAGTAAAATTCCAAAAAGTTTCTGCATATAATTTAGAAACAATTTTTGATAGTTTTTTTTTAAATTTTTTTCCTGGATTGTTTTAAAGTTTTTCGGTACATTTAAAGGAACGGTACTTTTTCTTTTAAAAATGTCAAGGTTCGTTAGAAATTTGGTACGTATATATGGTGAATGATTTTTAGGAACGGTACATTTTCTTCTCTCTTTTTTTTCTACAAAAACTGTTATAAAAGTTGCCTATTTTTGGAATATGTCCAAGTTCTAGTTTTTCATTCAGATCATTTCATCATACCACAAACAAAAAACGATACTTATTTGAAAAAACCTTTTGTTTTTTTAAGGCTATGGTCGGAACATTCTGTACAGTAATCGGCTATCCTTGCTAATTGATTGTTTTTATGTTTTGTTTTTGACGAGGTAGTTCAAAATTTTTTCCTTTTCTTATTAACGTTAAAAATGCAAAGGTCGCTTAATTGAGAAATCAATATATGTGCCCTTCTTATCTGGATGATTTAAGAAAATTGGGCAACTGCTCGAAAAATTGCAAATGTTCATTGTTGGCTGTATAAAATGAACAGTTTATACACTTCGATTGTTGTTGTCGTCTTTCTGTTTTTCGTGTTCTTCGTGTGTTATGTCGTCTGCTTTATCCGCTACTTTCCCAGTTTTCTTCATATCGATACATAAAATCTCGTCGTTTTTGTCGGGTCTCTCGGTCGGCGAGTTAAGGTCAATAATTTCTTCCTTATCGTTGGTCTTACTTTTAGGGCTAATTGCCTCAAGGAATTTCAAGCAAGCCTGATATTCAGGTGTTTGTTTCAGAGAAACCCATTTCATGAATTAAGGATTTCAGGCTTGGTTTTGCCGACGATGTCGGTTGGTCTAGTGGCGAATCGATGTTGAATCTTACTGGTTGTAGATTGCTCTTTGCTTCGTCGATCGTGCTGATCGGAATGGGGTCACCCAATGCATTCGCCAATGTCGATTGACGGTGACGGACTGAACGTTTTGTTAGTATTGTAGTCACTGAAGTTGATGTTGTTGGTAATCTCTTCTTTTGGTTTAGCCTTTTCGGTGAAGGCGCGGATGTTTCTGATGTCGTCGATGAATTTTCACTCTCCGTCTCGCTTGCTATGGATGGGTCCTGTGTTTGAGCTTTTACCGTGGCTTTAGTTGCTTTGGATTTTTCCATTGTGTCGAGGCTCATCCCTCGAGGTTTGTTACAGGGGCGCTCACTCGTTCGTCGTCCAGTTGGTTTGGCCCGTCGTTTGCTTGGACTATTTTGCCCGCTGTTTTCTTCTTTGTTTGCTGCTTGTTCCCGTCTTGTCAATTTCCTTGTCAGCCCTGTTTCCATATCCTCTTTGAACATTTTGCGTTGGGTCGTCTTCGGGTCTTCGATGTCTAAAAAACGTAGACCAGGTCCTGATCTCCTTGCCGATTTGTACTCAACGTAGTGACTTAACCGTGAAGGTCGGCATGGTCCGTTGATCAAAGGATTGGAAACAAATGCAACTCCACTATTTCTTAATAATCTAGGTTGTTTCCCGAATGAGTGCACCCATGCTGTATGTGGTGTGTTAGCTAAAGTTTTTCCGTCAATAGTTTTTTATTTTTGTTCGAATGTTTGAGGGTCCTTCACCTTAGTTGCCACTCGGATTGTTTTTCTCGCCACTTGATCTAATCGTTTTTTAATGTTTTTGTCAATAGGTGCCTGTCTCCATTTATACCTAGTATTCAGTTTATCTGTATTTATTTCTATGATTCGTTTAGATTGCACCTGGTGTTAGTTGTGTTGTTGTTTTGCTCGTTCCTGGTGCTTTTGTTGTCATCGCTGATCGTCGATTTACTGAAACTTCGTCCTCCGACCATTGTTGCAAGTCGTGCATAATTTCTACTGGTAGAGGCGGCTTTGTAAGGTTCTTTTGATCTAAACATGCGTGTTTGGCATTTTTTCAATTAGGGTTATTAAGTGAGCTATTTGTTGCCACGTTGGATAAAGGGGTATTTGTTTTTCTACCCATGTGTGCTTCGAATGGTGAGATTTTTGTTATGCCGTGTGGTGTTATTCGTAAAGTTTTTTTTATTTCGGCTACATCCGATGCTAGTTTGTATGGTGTGTTAGACTGATCTATTCTCCTTACCCCTAGCCCACGTTTTAATGTTTGTATCATTCTTTCTACTACCCCTATGGATCTATGGTCATCTACCGGAGCGAATAGTAATTTTATGTTATTTGTATTACAAATAAGTTAAAAATTTTTGACTCGAAATGTTTGAGCTTGGTCACATCTTAGTCGTCGAGGTACCCCATTATTCGAAACATACCGTTGCATAAATTTTATGTCGACGTCCGCCGTGGTATTTTTGACTACTTTTGCTGTGGGAATTTTGACCATTTATCTAATGCAACGAATAAGTACGCGTCCTTTTTTAGCTCACCGGGGAGGGGCCCGGCAAAATCTAACTGTACCTCCTCATTAGGTTCTACGACTGGTTCCATTTGGAATGATTGTTTCTTTCCTGTTATTGTTTTGAGATTTTTACCTTGTTCTGTAGTGTTTGCTGCTTTGCGCCATCTGGTCGATCGATCAGTGTGTGTGGGGGGAACCATACGTGTTGGCATAAGTCCAGCATAGCGGCTGATCCTGGATATGTCAGGTGTAGACTTTCCAGCACTGTCTGACGCAACTGTGTAGGAACGACGATACGTTCGTCAATGAGCAGACACTCCTCGCGGACATGTAATCGGTAACGTACATTATACCAATACTGGCCGTATGAGCATTTGATCGATTCCGAATCCTGTTTTTTAACAAAATTAATGAGTGGTCTTAAGTTTCCATCTTTCCTGGTAGTGGCGGCCTTGCACTTTTTGTAGTTTTTGGCGGAACAGCGGTGTGTCCTCTTCTGACTCCGTCAATATTACTTGGCAGATTGTGGCCACTATAACATCCGTAATCATTGATTTTTGTGGGTGGTTCCTCGTTTGGTGCGTATTCCTCCTGACTGACAATCTTGGGGTTGACTCGGCTTACACAGTGCTCGTTTGTTTCTAACTGTGAGTTATCTGTTTGTGTGCCTGCTGTTATTTTGTTGTCCTCGGTTTCCATGGCTTGTGTCGACTTTGACTTTGAGTGTGGTCGTTTGTGTTTTGGTCGCGTCTTCACTGAATACCATTTTTGGAAAGTTCCTTACTCATGTCTCGATGAGAGAAGTTCGAGCGCGCCCTTGATGGATTTCTTTAATGATGAATTGCCGGTGTTTGTTACTTTTTGTTTCCTGGCGGTACGTGGTGGTTTATGCCACCATGGGTCTGATAAGCTCTCCTCTCCATCCCACGATCCCTGCCTGTTGGATGTTTCTTCGTCCTTTCTGCCTCGAGGTTCCAAAGTCTTAACCTCATCTGGGATGAATCCGCCTTTAAAATTGCGGGCGTCTTCCTGTTCATTTTTTGCATTGCGTGTATGTTATTGACAAGAATTTTTTATTTTGTGATCGCTGAGATGTTTTTCTGAAAGAGAGCTGACTGAATTTTGGGTCGATTTGAGCAGGACTGATTTTTTCTCAGTGTTTGTGGTTGACCTATTCCGGAATTTCCGGAATGTTGTTTTTTCAATTGAGAATTTGAAGTGCTCTAATTGTTAGTCGTTTATTTTCTGCGCGCTTTTTGATCAGCTGACTCGGTGCTGAGTTTCGATTGGCTAAATTGTTAAGGATGACGTTGTCAATTGTTTCAAGGTTTTTATGAATGCATTAATTGATGCTACAACGAATTCCTCATCGTACTCGCTTGGGGGTTTTCCAATCCGCCTGGATTTCTTGACATATAGTCTAATAGTCCTCCATTTTGTTACCTGCCATGTGTTTGATATCAAAATGAAATGGAATTAGTCGGTCAACGTTTTTATCTGCTTTGACTGGTTTTTGATCTTTCACTTGCGTTTAAAGCGTTGATCAAATTTTGATAGTCAGTGATGACTGTAAACTTTTTTCCATAAAGATAGTTTTTGAAATGTTTAATGGCCCAAACTACCCCAAGTAATTCTAACTCATTAACTGAATACTTTTCCTCAAGAGAATTTAAGAAACGCGATGCGTAAGGTATTGCCACCCAGCCTTCTTTTGAATGTTGCTCTAGTGACGCTCCTAAACCTGATATGGAGGCATCGCATGCTATGCGTGTTTCCAAATGTTGATCAAAATGTTTGTTTTGTGTTATTTCAGAAACTAATTTAATTATATTTTCAAATGATATATTGTGTTCCTGTTTCCTTTAATTGGTTTATTTTTCTCTGTGTTTAAGCAAAGGCGACAATGCGGCTGCTGTCTGTGCTAAATTAGGAATGTATCTGGTGAGATGGTCTATAGATCCCATAAAGTTTTTAAGTTGTTTCAAAGTTTTTGGTGGCGAAAGTTTCTCAATCGCTTCTGTTTTTTTTATTAATGGTTTGATGCACTCGCTGTTTATGGTGTACCCCAACCACTCAACTTGTTTACACGCAAACTTACATTTGTCCAGTGATTTTGCGAGGTTTTCCGCACCTATTTTTTCCAATATCGTTTGAAGTTTTTGTTGGTGTATATCAAGTGATCCTTTCGTTACTATGAGTATGTCGTCCAAATATGCGTACGTGTTTGAGCAATTGGTTAGTGTCAAATCAACAGCCTTCTGAAATTCATTGGTATATCTGTGAGGCCGTTCAAACTGGTTTGAAATTCAAACGTCCCGGTGGCAATGCCACCAATTAAACTGAAACTACATTGTTCTCGAGTTGATTTA